ACTTCCATTTCATTAAATTCATATACACTGTAATTCAGAGTCAATGTTCTGTTACTTCTTACATTTCTAAAGATTGAAGTACTGAAATCAACTTTTGAAAAGTACTTGTTCAGTTATTGACAATAGCTACATTTGAAGGGCTGGGGAAAGTGGCTTTTTCAATAAAAGCATGTTTAACTACTCATTTTTACAATGTAATGACACTATTTTTATTTTGCTGAAAGACTAAGTTGTATGGGTACACCAGCACAGCAATCTTCCTAGCAGTTGCTGCAATGGAAGGAGCACAAAAGCTGCTGCAGTATTCAGTCAGCAAACACCCAAGGATTAGATCCTTTATGGTTTCTCCTCAGTAACCTAGTGAGGTAATGAGGTGGTTGTTTACACTGACTTCCTCTACGTAACCGAGAAGAGATATTTCTAACTGAGTGAAGCCTACCTGCCAGTGGCTGGTTTCTGTAGGAGTTTGGATTTCCTGTCACAGGGCTTGTCTCAACACCGTGTAACTCTTCCATCACTGCCAGGTACAGCAGCAGATCGGCAACTACACATGAGACATCTAGTATGATATGTTCAGCACGGACTATATACACATGTATGTTGACAGACACCCTCCTCTTGAAAAATAGACAATATTCAACACTGCTGCTTATTCTCAGAATTGAGGTGGCTGATACACCAAACTACTCAAAGGTGAGGTTTTCTGCCACTAGAAGGTATTGAAGCCCAACACCTAACTGCTGCAGGTACACAAAGGTGACCTTCTCACTCTTGGTCTGCCCTGAAGAGAGTCAGGAGTACAACATATGGGAGGACTTAAGTTCCTGACTTGGCTTTTGAAGATATTTTCTGCCTAAAAAAAATATATTCACTCAAATTAACTGCTAAAGAGATATCTGTGTTTTATTTCATACCTTCAAAGAATTTATAAAATATTTTCTTCCCCTTACAGCTAAAGGAACTGTTTTGAGACTCTCCTCTTTTATTCCACCCTCCAGGAACAGAAAGTTTCCATCCCTACTCTTCAAAAGAGTCATCACACAAATTTAAGCAATTTTGAAAGCTCCAGGTGGAATAAAGTATTCTAATACTCTTAGCCATAAATATTGACTAGGATTAGTTTTTAGATAGTATTACTTACAGCATTTATTTTATTCCTAACAGCTATGTTACTTCTGAGTGCTATGCTGATACTTTGTAATGACCTCATAACTCATACATGGGCTTGGGAGTCAGTTATACCTTTGCGTAATGCGGCAGTTTACTGGGCTGTTTTGCATACAGTAACTAAGCAGCAAATGGAATAAGCATGCTAAATACTCACTGAAGAGGAGGAAAATAATTCCAATCACAAATGCATAGGAAAAATGTGTCCAAAACTGTTATGGTGCTACCAAACAGGAGTATTCTTTTCAGTAAAACTGGATGTGAATAATGCTAACTTTAATTATTCTCGAATACACCAGAAATCCTTCTAGCCAATTTGTTAAGTAGACTGAATATGACAAAAATACATGGGTATTCTCTGTTTTTTTCACTGTTGAAACAGAGCTTCAAAATAAAAGCTTGAAGCTATGCAAGCTGACAAGAATTCTCCGTGTTAGGTTTCTTACTGTCAGGCAGTCAAAATAGTTGAGCATGGAGGCTCAATGGGAACAATCCAAAAGATTTAAGATGCAGCTGCCGCATCCTAACTTTGAGGATTCAGAGTAGCATTCAGCAAGAAAAATCCATTTATAAACTTCTTAGCAGAAACACAGGTTCCTTTCAGAAATCTAACTTGCTTTAAAAGCAATTGTTACAAAGCAGCCTACTCATAACTGTCTGAGGGTTTTTTCTCCCCATGAGAAGGGCACATGGAGCCAAGACAAAACACATCTGACTCAAATAGTCCTGTCAGGTACTAGATTTTATTCTAAAGAATTAAAGATTAATTTGGCTTGGGAAAAATAGGTAAGTCTTAAGCCAACACTTACCTAATAAAAGCAAGAAAGTGAAGCTCAGCAGCACTGAAAAGAATACCCAACAGAGACCAAATATAGCTTCAACATATATTCATGGTCTGTCTAGAAATGTCTTTGATGTTAAACCTCATATGGCACACTTAGCATTTTTCATAATTCATTTCCTATGGAAACTAATGAGCTTAAGGGTGAAATTACCTCATTGAAAGTCAAAATGGTGAAGTGTGAAGAAAAGAAGGATGACCTGAAAAGCAGATTTAGAAGCAATCTTTGCATATTAAGCATTGCTGTGGGAAATAGTATAATTAGTTTTCTTCAGAAGTTATTCCTTGGAATTGTGTAAGCGGTATTTCAGCTCCCAAATATCAGCGCAGAAAGAATGTTACATAAAATAGGTGGGAAAATGCAAAATCTCAACACATTCTTTTTAAAAGAGATCCTTTTCCTAACTTCTAGGAAAGGACTACAATATAATGACTGTTGGTTTATTTTCAGAGGTTGTACAAAATAAAGCCCCATTCCAGCAGATATTTCTGAGAGGCCATAAGAAACCTGATTTTCAGAGCATAATTTAGAATTCTCAAATGCCTAGCTCCTTTTACTTGAGTCAACTTGTTTTCCTAAACTCTTGCTGTAGGCTAAGCATTTGCACTACACAGTTCTACTGAAGACTAGAAATTGATACAAAATGGATGTATTTTGTTTGCAGAATGATTTATCTTTGAGTGACAAATACCAGGATTTTTCTATTAAAAGAAAACAGTAGCAGAGCTTAAAAAAAAATATCCTACACAGTTGCTGATTCAAATACTTGAGATGCACTGAGGGCTTTCAGATTAACACTCACTTTTGAAATTAGTATATGGTCAGCTGCATAATGCCATATATTGCATTGTCTTCCTCACAATAATTGTACCAAATTTCCCCATTCTTTATGCAGGAAGTGCTTGAAAGAGCTTATGCTGTGCCAGAACTGGCCACTTGATAGGAGATAAATCCAAAATCCGCAGCTTCCTCAAACTAAGTTAGTTACAAGTCATTGTTTGACATAATGGAATTTAGAATACTTAAACCTTCCAATGTAAGTGCAGGGCAAGCCAAAACCATGATAAGTTTTAAGGTCTTATCAGCTTGTCTTTATGACATATAGAACAACACAGCATCTTCACTTTCACACTACTTAACCTGAGTTTGAACTTCTATTAAATTTAGTCTGAAGAACAAATGATAACTGGTTTAACTGAGAACAGTGATACAGATTAGCTACCGCATTAAAGGATATCCAGCTTCAAGTATGGGAATGGTGGCAGCACAGAAATCCTGGGATACTAAACTGCAATTTGAAGCTTAATGACTCTGGCATCACTGTCTTTCATCTCAGAACAGGGCGCAGACAAGTCCTATTTACTCTGCAAGGGAAAAGTTCTATTCAGAAAAAGTTCTCTTAACAGAAGCCATTTGAAATCTTAGCATTTATGCAATTCAGATCATTCTAAAGATGAGCTCAATACGACAATCACTTTCTGTAGCCCGCTGTTAAATCAGTAGTGGTATAATGCTTGTCACTTCAGTGTTTATGGTATTGCGAGAAACTAAAATAGTATCCACTTTTCATAAGTAGGAAACTTTTTCATATACTAGCATCTTGAAGCCATCTCATTGACAAAACCGAAATCTATTTAATAGTTTTACACTTATCCATTATAAAAACTGTAGAGATACTGATGATCCTCTGTGATATCCTCTGACACTTTTAAGAAAGTTTGAGAGAATTTCTTGGAATGACACAAGAACTCATGTCATTTTCAGTCAGTACAAGTGCAAGGATGATATTTAGTTGTAAAATCTCAGCATTCAAGTACCTAATATCTTGACAAAGCAATCAGCAAGAGTTGCATACCTCCATTCTGTGGGATGCGAATATGCCACAGAAGAAACAGAAACAGACAACTTCAGTATCTTTTTTTTTTAATTAATAACTTCTTGGTTCAGGAAAAAAAAAAAAAAAATCACAAAAGAGAACTGGAAGAACTACTCTCCACCTTCTTTATAAAAGAACTTCCTCAAAGACAGAGACTATACACCTTGATTACCACTACGTCAACCCCTACCATAATCACCTTGGTTTCCGTAACATCTATTCTACCACATTTCATGCTCAGCTTCCAAATATCTCTTATAAAGGAGGTGGGGATGTGCTTTAGACAGGTTAAAAATATGCTGCACCTTTACAGTATTTAAACAATTACGCCAAGCATAGTTCATACATTTAGCACATTAACTATCACCTGGTAACCATACATTTAAAAAGGTCTAATGTATAGAGTATGTAATACCCATGACAGATACTCTTACTTACTTAAGAGCATATAAAGATCAGGATTTATTCACCTCTGCAAGTTAATTTCTCATCACCTCCTGGTACAATATAAATGACAAAAAGATCCCTTCATTCCATTGCACTACCGCAACCCTATATGCATAGAAAGGCAGATTAATTATCTGTAACAGGGAAAAGGAAGAGGGGTTTAAAAAAGGAATTGAAGAACCTCTACTGCACAGGTAGTTTAGCTGTTAAGCACATGAGTTTTGTTGTTTGCTTGGGGTTTTTCCCCAATTTTTTTTTCTCCAAGTCACACAATACATCCCTATACAAACACAACTTGAGTAAGTGCAAGAGAGGTTGTACATAGTACTGTAGACATGTTATTCTTGACCAACAGAAGAACTTCAGCACAAGAGGCTTGAACACTAGCACAGTGGCAAGTCTGTGCTGAAAGCCCATCTGGGGTGTGGAAAGTGGTGAATGAAAACATGAAGCACATTTCTGCATATAATGTGCAAAGGCTTGATCTCCACAACTGCACTCATTTTGCTACATGCACAGCCAGAGATGAAAAAGAGATCAAAACCAGCCGAGAATGGTTGTCCTGAGAAGATACAGTAAGCATTAAAAAAAAAAAAATCTAAACATAAAATACAAATACAGAAGCCACAGAACATTGTTAATAATACTAAAAGACAGAAACACACTGCTGTTGTTAAAAGAAGTTTCAAGTATTATTCCAGATCCAATTTCAATCCTACTCACAGGAGAAAATGCCCAGAGATTAGGAAGAGAAGTCCACACCAAAGTGTATTTTTAATAGCATACAGGCATGGTCAACAGACCCATCCTTGCGACAGCTATTTTGAAAAATAAAAATCTAAACAGAAATACATCATTCTAATTATCATTCATATAAAGATGTGCATTACTGGAAATACTTGTTTAATCCACTGCAACCAGTAGACACGAGGTGCTGCATCATTTGTGCTCCATTCTATCAGAAGATTTTGTGTGTACACTTTTTAACATTAAAGTATAAATCCTGCTCATAAAATAAGGCATACTTAAAAACAACATGGTATCTACAGAGGTAACTTTGTATGCTTTCTTCTCGTTCTGTTCACGCTTCTATATATGATAAAAAATGTTGGTCCCAGTTGCGTTTGTCACCATTACTAACAGGTTATGATGAAACAGACCAATTTGGGGTGGGGTGGGTTGGGATTTTTAATTTAAATGATGCTTGGGACATCTCCTGAATGAGCTCTGTAGAGGCATGGCAATAAAATCTACTTTTTTTTTTTTTACTGTCAGTGACACCAGTGTTCCCCTTCATCATCCCCATCCAGAAATGCCACCATATTGCTACAATTTGTCCAAGCTGAATTCTTTTTTGTAAGATTGTTCCTTCCAGTAAAGCTGCTATATTCTGTTTTAAACTATAACTTTCTCTACATTTTCACCAGTGTATGCATGCTAGAGAACAGCTGCATGGCAGAGGTACATATTTAGCATATGGTATCAAACATAAAAGAAATAAAAAGAACCAGTGTGTCCTACTGGCTGATCTACATCAAAAGCACTGTTTGGTCTTCTGATACAAAACATTACAGAAGGAATATTAGCAGAAGTCTGTTCTGCTTCAAGTATTACCCCAACTTTAAATGTGATTTTCAAATTTTTGTGCAATTTTTTGTAATTTAATATGAATAAAAACATCAGTATGACTAAACTAAGAAAAAAAACCCCTGTACTACTTCCACTGTAACACTGCACATATGGTAGAGGCTTCAAGCTGAAACAGCTGTTTAACAGATGAATATTCTTTTAAAGTGAATATTAACGTGGTTTCTAGCACAAATGCAATGGGTAGTGACAAAGTATCAGACTACCGCAAAATGCAGTTACAAATATACACTCACAATTTCCTTCTTAAATATTAATGGCTCTTGAAATATCCATCAGATACTTTTACAAAACATTTCTATTTTAACTCTAAGGAATTTTCTTAGTTTCTTCACAAGTAGTGCAAATACACTCCTTATTCTTAGGTTGTCCCAAGATATGGCTGGTTTTTGTGCGTGTGTGATTTCTGTTTGTGTTCTTCACTGAAGTGATACAGTGACACTGTATCCATGAGGATGGAATGCAATGCTTGCTGGACTTTCTTGTAAAAAACCCCAAATCTACCTTATTCATGTACAGCTGTAAAATTCTACAAATGAAAAAGTTCACACCAGATTACCTGATGCAAAAGTTATTGTTGCCCTGCTATGGGGGAACTGAGAAGGTCCCCTGAAACCTTAAACTGTACAAGCAGTGTAACAGGGTTTTGTCCCTTCTCTACAGACTACAAGTATTCAGTATTCAATTCTTGAATCGTGTTTGTTCACAAATGTGGTTGAATTTCCTAGGAGAAAGAAAAAAAAAAAGTAAGTATTAAAATGCAACAAAGTTCTCAGAAGCCAACAAGAAAAATGAGTCAGTCTCTTTCAGAGTATTTTAAATGTTAAACAGTTTAAAGCAGAACATTTACACACTAACACACCTGTCCTCCAGAACCTGTTTAAATTGTACTCTACTATCATGACATCTGTAACAGGATTTTCAACATCTCTCCTGCCTAACCCCCTGTTAAATATATTAGACACACAGAAAACCTGTTATTAAAAGCATTCCTCTATACTTCTGCATACTTCAAAACCAGGAGGCAATTAAACCAGGAATCAGTGAATTAATTTTGCCCTGTGAGACATCAGTAATTTTCAGTAGACAGCATTACACAAGTCACTAGGCCCCAGAACTAACCAGGCCAGTAATCCATTTCAACATAAACATGTTCTTTCACTGGCTTAGAAACATCTCACTATTCATTCTTTATTTTTCTCTTACTTGGATTATGCATCCCCTGATACATAACTAAAACAGGAGTTGGCGTGTTGAGTGTGTATATACATATGTGTGGAAGAGATGATGCAAAAGAGACCATGAATTTTCTCCCCCTTGTTGGTTTAGATAAAATATTAGAAAGAAACGTTGCTTATATAACCATTATGTAGTACAACATTTTAGTTCATTTAAAAAAAAAAAAAGGTAATTGAGTATCTCTAGAAACGAATGGTACAACAGGATTGTTTGCTTTCATGGATTTTAGGAACTATGAGTAGCAGCCAGTGAGTTCTAGGAACAGCTAGTGCTTGAAAGAAAGAAAAAATAGGAAGAAAACCTGAGTCATTTCTGCTGTAGATGGAATCATTCACCACAATATGAAGACAGACAAGTGGTGAGTACTTTGATAATGAATTAACTCTAACATTTCAAAACATAACCTCTGGGAACACAGACAGTCTTCTAATGTGAAGTTATATGTAACAGTGGCAGTTTGAATTACATCTGCAACTTAAATCCCAAATTATTTTTGAAAGGTATTTGGTAAAACCTCTGACTTTGTAAGAGGCTGAGAATGAATATTTTACAACTCCTTCTTATGATCTGCTTGCCTGAGCTATACACACTATTTTCAACCCATAGTACCTGCAATATTAAAGGAAGTATGTTAAGTATGTATACTCACTGCAGCGTTAGAAAGATACTGCAGAATATACTATTCATTAAAGCGGTTTCTCAACAAGGGTTAACAGCTCCTTTATCTTAAAATGCACTGAGAATTTACAGAACTATTCATAAAGCAGCTAAGATTTTTCTACCCTCTCTAGAAGTAGGTAGATAATACTTGTTTTGTTTTCCAAGTCTCTAATACTTGTGGTAGCACATGTGCATCTTTTCATAAGAATTAAAACGCACTGGTTACCAGTGGCTGTGGTTTTTTTAATCAAGGACCTCGATTTATTTTGGATAGACATTTGTCATGAATGATCAGATACTAGAAGTACATGTCCCCTAGATGTACTAAACCACATGAAAAGCAAAGGGTTAATCTCTTTTCAGGCTCAGTGTTTCAGCTTTGCCATATACCAGATTGCTTGGGTCAGAAGCATAAAACCTAGAAAATCCTTCAAAACCAGGAACTGCTGAGCCACACCAGGTTCCTAATGTTACATGTTCCAAACTTCTCTTGCTTTTCTTGTTGCAAATTATTCCCACCAATTTACCCCTCCAAGGTACGTTGCACTTTACTAGAAGAGTCTCTCATAGTTTCAAATGGAAATCACACCAGGCTAATTATTGTATGTACAGTGCTTTTAAGAAGCACCCAGTCACAAGCAAATGAGAAGCTGCTTCAGCGGGAGAAGAATGGGAATGAAGGGGGAGTTGTGGGCGGAAAAGACTCCAGAAGTGTCAGCAATGGGTTATATCAACTTAAAAGTGATAGCGGTGCCCTTCTGACATGTGCGAAGGGGTTGTTTCAAAGTTATGTTAAAAATGACAAAAACAACCCCAACCCAAAGTTGGCCCAATTTTGCTTATGCTACAATGGTGTTACTCATGCAGCTTCTGGCATTTTAAAGCTTTGGTTTTTTTTTGCTGTTATTGTTTGTTTGGTTTTTTTTTTACAAATGAAACAAACCCAAGAACCACTTTCTGAATTATCAGACTTACATGGCATGATGTGCTTTGACCTGAGTTCGACAATTGCGTCCCCAATAGCAATCAGGACGTGATGTGACAGTCACTACAAAAAGAGCAAATGAAATGCTACATTTATTACATAAGTCATTAAATAAGGTGATGTAGATTATTAAGACATTGCTAATTGTAGTTACTCATCAAAGCAGACTTTGTAGAGAAACAAGACATGATTGGCAAGAAACAATTGTGAACTATACTGGTTCACCTTTCTAGAAACAAAGCAAGCACTTAATGAAGGACAAAAAAACTCATTCTGAATATTAGGCTCATGCAGACTTAAGATGAAAGGATTTGGTTCTCAGTGCTGTCAACTGAAATGGTACCATTTATTTTAATAGAGATGAACTTTACAGTTTAAGACACCGGGCATATGTCTAGATACATTTCCATAATAAAGAAAAAATTATTAATTTGGGTAGAGTTTTGGGGGTTTCCCCACTTCTACATACATTATAACTCAACTGTCCAGAAGGCTGTTACATTAAAATGGAAAGCAGTACTAAGGAGAAGCAGGTAGACTGACTCTCATTATGCACACAAGCAGAGCTCTCAACAGTTAAACAGTTAAAGACAAGGAAGCTGTTGCTAACAAAGGTACTACATGGACAAGAGTAACATTTAAAAACAGATTGTTGGAAGAGCTTCTGTTTCCAACAGATTTAAGACTGAAGGAGGCACAGTTGCTTGCATGCTATTTTATATTAAAACTGTAAATGTGAGCAGATTTAGAATTAATTTATGAAAACATTCTTGTTTCTAGTTGAGAGCTGATAACATGTGAAATTGTTCTGGAGGCGCATAATTATATGTATTTAAATAGGAAAATAAATTAAATTACAGCAACTAGTTCCTGTTGACTATATTGTGGATTTTACTGAATTCCTCTTTTCACTATATAGATACCTTTATCCTACTGATGAGAAATCCTACTGAAAGAAAAGGTTCCATTAGGGAGTCTGACAATAACAATATGCAAACTTAGCAGCTGACAAGTAAACAATCAGCATAAGATACTAGCCCTGCAGAGAAATTTGTACTGGGCTACACAAAGGTGCTAAAACACCAAGGATACAAGGATAAAACAGACTTTAAATTACTTTTCCCCATTACTAAGCAAAGAGATCCCCACCTGGCAATTCAGCAACAGGAATATTCTGCCTGTACTGGTAGGCAAGTTCTCGAAAGCTGCGAAGGCCACAACAGTAGCAAAGCACTGTGTTCCCAGTAATTCTGTAATCTGAGGAGAAACCCAATTTGTACATAATGTCAGTGTAAGGCCTGAAAAAACAGATTTAGTGAAAATGCCATGATGGCATTGGTTATGTACACAGAACTTAAAACCTCTTCGTAGTATTACTGACAAAGAAAAAAACATGTACAAAAATGAAGATAACACACCTGACAACATAAAAACTCCTCTTTGAAGAGCTAAGAGACTTTCATTTAACATATTTTTCCACGTCAAACCCCTGGATGCCAGGTAATCCTGAAAAGAGCAATTGAAGTGTGTGAATTAAGGAGTGACCAAGCCATTTACTCTCAAATATTTCTGAATCTGTAACTAGGTTTTTCAACATGGGTTGATGATGGTTACAAGTAAATATCTTCAAACTTCATTAGTGTGATACTTTTGGATCACCAACAAACCCTTCCATTCAATCTCTCTTCTTCAGAAGATCCCCACTTTTGCCAAATGAATGCAAATAGATTCACTTCAGCCACACTGTCATATACCTTAAATCAAGATTTTATCCAATTTACCTAATTTAGGTAACTCTTGGTTTTGTACAGGCAAAACATTTTCTATGCAACCTAGCATGAAACTCAACTTGTCTGGGACAAAATATTTAACAAGCCTTATTTTCCTGGAGTATTTTCAGTGAATTATTTTTTCCCTCAATTAGTATTTTGGATGTTTAATTTTAGACTGTCAAAACTGGCTTCCCTAACAAATGCTTCACACAAATAAAATTCTTTTATGATTTAACAACCAACCATATCTGAATTCTACAGTGTATCAGTCATTTAAACTCACATTCCAAAATTATATTTAGAATTTCTGCCTTCTTGGCACCTGTCAGACATACACATCAGGGAAGTCATGCATCAGGATTGCATGAAAGTGATTTTGTTATTGTTGCTGTTAATTTGGGTGGTATGAGAAGAACTCAGGCTAAATGGAATGCATCTTTAGAATACAATGCCCTCTTCACAGACTGAAAGACCCAAATTATCACCCCAAAGTACTTCCTATCCAGACACAGTAACTTTGGTCCAGCTGATCATTTGGGGCTCATTAAATTTGCCTTTTAGAATTAGGTGCTGCAAGTGACAATGCTGCCACTGTAACTGTTAGGCAACATATAACTAAAAATTCGTGAGTGAATACATCTTAAAATTTGTACATTTATGTATGATGAACAAAGATAATGATTTTTAAACATACCTTTAGGATATCTGACTCGTAGTGGTTATTATTTAGGACTCCATCTAAACACTTATCACCAAGATTTATTTCTAATCAAAACAAGAAGAAAAAAGTTACTATTTCTTCCCCCAATGTCTCCTACCCCCCATTTTTCTGAAGTTTTTCCTGAAATAATGTGCACAGAAGGTTTTTTTTTTCCTGAAATTATGTGCACAGATTTATGTGAGCACCAAGTAAATGACTGCATTCAGCATATGCTAGAGCATGTGATATATCACTTCCAAAGGCAAGAAGAAGACACTGAGATTTTACATTTTCACCTTCAGCCCACAAACACTACTACTAAGCGGCACAAATTAACAGTGCTATTAAGGCATATTCTATTAGCTTCAAACTGCAGCCAAGGAATTTCAACTGTTCTAAATTATTTTTAGAAAATGTTTAAAAAATTGAGTTTCAGAAGGCTGCATGTTTAACAGCAGACGGTTCTTTTCTGATCAGTTAACATCAGATGTTCGGTGCTCTTGCACTGATTTGTACAATTCTCTTACTAGGGTGAAATGCACCATGATTATTTTTATACTGGAAAGCACTGTGCTCCTCAAATGTAGTTTTCAAGCCCAATACGGTATGAAGAAGTTAAATCCTCTCAAACTTAAGACACATACCACTCAATAGTTTTTTTTCATGTTTGTAACGTGAGGACACAGCCTTTGCACATTTGTGCTTCAAACTAATCTATTAAGTTTCTTAAATTACCTAAAGCTCAAGACAGACATTATTTCAAAGTGAGCACACTCATAAGAAATAGATTACTCCACAATACCACAGAATGGTGCCAAACAGCCAAAACATGCCATCCGAGTGCAGCCCCAGTATAAGTGACAGAAGGGTTGAAGACAAACTGTACCTGTCAAATAACAAAGAAAACCCCCATGTAAGGATCTGAACACAACAGCCCTCATAAACATGGCTGAAAAAGTACAGCTTTCTCATTTAAAATACATCGTATACAGTAAGTTTTCAAAGGAAGATTCTTTCATGCTGTCAGTACAAGAGTCCAGATAAAGAACATTCAAATAAATCTACTTTGAAGAGTATTCTTTAAGTTTAATGAAAAATAAGGATTTCGTTCTATAGCCAAAATTATAATAATAATAAAAAAAAGTACACACATTGCTGAGGAGCAACATGAGGATTCTGTTCACGCTCTGCTCTTCTATCAGGCATTGGCTGAAAGCAGCAGGTGCATATTACATGACTTCCTTGAGCAGGACACACGTACTCCTGGACAGCTAGATGAGTTTAAAACAGAAAGGACAGACTGAAAAAAGGACACAATAGCAATCTGGGCTAAGAATCTTGGTATCAGCCACATCAAAAATCTGAAAGTAAAGGCAAGCAATATAATTTTTAGAAAGATTCCATGAAAGAGCAGCAAAATGGAATGGCATTCAGACTTCTAAACTACACAGGGGTGTAAAATATTTCAATATGTAAAACAGTTTAAGAATACCAATGATCAGCAATCTATTTTGGACAACCCCAGAAAAGCCAGGGTCAAATCTCATTATATTTACAAAGACACCTATGTGAAGTGGTGTTACTCTTGCAGTACTGTAAGAGTGAGCTTGCTTAGTTCACAATTTAGTTTATTGTTACAACTTAGTTCATTGCTTAGTTCTGGGGAGTTGGACTAGATTATCTTTAATGGTTCCTTCCAACCTGCAGGGAAGTTAGCAGACGTAGATGGCGCATCTCCCAGTGCTTGCATTCCTCCTGCTTCTGTCTCTTGGCCAGCGCCAGGCAGTGTTGGAACAGAGTGTCTTCGATACCCTGGGCACTGTCTGCACACTATATATGGTTGACTGAAAGAATAAAATAGGCTCATAGGAAATCACACCCAACAAATGCAAATATAACTCATATCCCTACGCTAGACAAGGTTGGTCCTACTTTCAAAGTTTAAATTTGGAATTTCTTCATCCAGTAACATATGGAAGTTTACGTAACTCAGTACGTCACAGCCGTGTAATTGTAAAGTTGTAAAAGACACAAACTTTGTGTTTTGTAGTATTCTCCAAATAGTAAAAAAGAAAAAAAAAAGTGATATGACTGGAAGTGAGATGAACAAGAAAAAAGAGGAACAAAGCTGGAATAATTATCTACATGAAGAGTTCTTCTACTCCCCTCCAGAGATACAGCAAAAAATGTTTGCTGTTGAAGATAAAGAGAAGATATTTTGGTGTCTGGGAATCCCTAGGTCAGGCGTCAGCTGCTTCAGTACCATTCACCTGGTGAAAGCAGCATTTTAAACACATAAGAAAGCATAATCATTGCAGCTGCACTCACAGAGACTGCTTTATCTCCTCACAAGATCTTAGTAAGAAACCTGTTTTCTCTAAAGCAACAGCCAATTCATAATTGGAAAAGGTAATTTCATGTATCTCACATGAAGCTGTTGTACAAGTCAGCATAGAACTGTTGGCCATAAACTGAATCTTGCTGCACTTGTAGTAAGTTCTAAATTGAATTACTTTGTGTTGACTGTTTTAAGGTTCGGTAAGATGGCCTATAGAATTGCCCAGATAACTACTGGTAAGAATGAACTTAGCTGAAAACAAAAGTAAGATTCATTCTGGCAATGATCATGGAACCACTACCAGAAATAACAGCATTTGTGAAACTAGCTCAGTTTGTGGGTTTGTGCATTCAAATGTAAGTAAATCTGAGCCAGTGCACAACTTAAATACACATACCTGATATCTGAAGATTCACTATCTACATCTGACAATTCCAATAAATCTTCAGAACTTCCTTCCTCATCTGAAAAAGATCTCCGCACCTTAGGTTGTAACATGTCTTGAGTAATTTTGTTTCTAGCATCCATGCTACGTACATCATCTTCATTACGACATTTATCTGGCATGAGAACCAAGTACAAATTTCAAGAGAAAAGAACACATCAGATCCCTTATTTCCATTTTACTTCATTAACGTAGTTGCAATTACTGTGTTTTCATTTCCATAAAACTTACTTTTGAATAACCAAGTTACAGAAGCTAAATTCCCCCTCTCTGTTAACCTAAGAGTAATATGAGGCAGGCAACTTAAGATTTTGTTTTCAAGAGGTCATGATCAAAGTTAATTAAATCCATATTCAAGTACATTTTTCAGAAGTATCTGAGTTCAGGCAGCCTCATCAGTCAGTGTGCTCTATTTGAAAAAACCGATATCCTTCTTAAGTACCAAAATAAAATTCAGAATTCTTCACTTACTCCATTATAGTATTAAATCACCTGTCAATTCTCACCCAGTATTTGAAATAATGTGTCATGTTAAATGCACTTTTTTTCTTACAGCCATATCAGAGAAAACAGCAGAATAATAAAGCATACACAGAAATTTATTAGTAAAAATTTGTGCATAAATCAGTTACACAGCTCATGTGTGCTACACACACTTCAACTTGCCTGGATGCTGAATCAGATAAGCTTCAACCAAGTTGTTCAATATGTGATTTTTACAAATACGTTCTACCGGACAACGACAAGTTGGACACAGAGATGATCTTTCCATCCATCCTGAGTAGCAGGCAGCACAAAAAGTATGCATACAAGGCTGCAAGCTGGAAAACACAATCATGAAAACAATGAAAGAAACAGTCAAAACACAAATCTTTTTTTTTTTTCAGATACATTCATAACAGTCAAAAAAACACCCCAAACCAAAACACAACTGAAAAAAAAAACCCAGAAGATTAGCACTGACTATACAGTTTGGACGCATGGGAAGGAAGAGGACTCAGAAGGGCTTGTGAAAACCCCTAAGTAGCCTGGCCTCCTCAAACAGTTGTCACCAAACTTATTTTATTACCACATGATTACAGCTTTTGTCAATCATACATACCTCACACAGTCATGCAGCAGTTCTTGGCAGATAATGCACGTTAACGTTTCTTCCATCTTATCTGGTTTCACATTTGATGTTTTTGCATCTTCAGAGCCAATTTTAATTATACATTCATTTGGAGCTGCTGGGGAAAGATTTGGACAAGTATCTTCATCTACAAAGACAGAAGATTCCACAGTATGTAGGAAGCTTTTTTAAATTTATTTTTATTTAAGTGTTAAAAAGAGACCTGAAAGATGTACAGAGATTCCCTGCTCACTGGCAGTGGTCCTACTAAAGGTTCTTGCTTTGCACATAATTGCTTCTGCTACTGCAGATATTACTTTTACTGGCCCAAAAATCAAGTCAGTAAGAAACAAAACACAAACTGAAGAAGGGCTAATGATAGCTGACCTGACTCAATTCAGGATGGGGAGTGAAAGGGCTGCAGACACGGAATGAGAGGGGAATTTTGCTTTTCTTATTTAATATCAAAACATAAAGTAACATTGTGAGGAGGAAAAAAGTTACTCATGCCCTACCAACATAAACTTTCAAAACCTTCTAGGTTTGGTATGTGTGCATTTTGAATGTATTTCACATTAATAAAGAAAAATAAGCACAGATCCTGATGCTTCTGTTAATTTCATTGGGCTTCTATGAAAAATGGACATAGCTTTAAGTTCCTGATTAAGTTTTTTAACCTAACTTTCAACAATAGCATTAAAACAAATGAGTACAGGGTAGGCTGCGCAATACTAGTAATATACTAGCCTCCTTTTAGTTTCTTCTTAGCAGGTTCCAAACCTTCCTCCTCCCCTGTTCTTTGGGAATCTGAATCTGCTTTTTCTTTGTCAGTGATTTCCGAAGTGATTGCAGAAGTTTCAGTATTCATATCAAGCTTTTTATCTTCGTCATGCAGTGCTCTTAGACACACTGATTCTACCATGGGGAAAGCAGGCACAGAAGTGAAAACTGAGGACTGTGATCCTGCAAAACAAAACCAGAAACACGAATGTAGTTGCATACATATTTGTGACATGAAAAACCAAAAGGTACTCAGACACTGATGATGCACACACATCGATCCAAACATCTGAACAGGAAAATATGGAGCAAAAAAAGCTGTGTCTGTGTAACTACTCTAAATGCATCCTGAGCCAATCTCACTAATTGAAAGACCTAGGGGAAAACAAGCTACTAGTTTTGTAACCCTACTTAAAACACCCATTCCTTTTTAAATTGTATTTATTCATAAGACTATTATCCATGCTAGGTCTTCCCAACGAAGATGCCAGGCAGAAGATTGATGCCATTTTGATCATACCTAACAGGTCAGGATCACAGCAGAGGACAAAGCTTTTTTTCATAGGAGTATGTTCTAAAAGTCCCAATGAACTGTTGACAAACGCCATTTTCTAGAGCTGTTCTTGCTTCAGTTCTATTTCAAGCATTGTGCAGCACTCTGGTATTCCACGCACCAACATAATACAAGATACTAGACTAGGGATCCCTTTGGTATATTTTGGCACTAGAGCTCTAAGCAAAGGAGAGGGGACTGGTGACTACCAGCAGTAACAGTGACAATTGGGTTAGTTTCTCAGAATGACTGCATGAGCACAAGCACTCATATTTACTTAATTTGTTATATGAGCCACAAAGACCTCTTAATTTTCAACAGTGCTCCGCTACAAAATCATAAAGATAGAACAGTTTGGGTTAACATGCATTTTCTGCCCCTCTGAGCATAACGAATTCTCTCAATTGCCTTACTCATCCACTGCCTACTCACAGAAAGTTAAAATGCACATATCCAGCTAGTATTTTCACTAGAACTTTAAAAAGCAAATGCTAAAGAGCCAGATAGGCCAGAGATTAATCTGTTAAAATTCAAAACTGGAGTTACAGTTGATGGGATATCAAACTTTAAATACTTGACACAGTCCTTACCAGATGTAGAAGGATTATCCTGTTGAACAGATGCAAACTCATTAAGAGAGGTAGAAGAAGCATTAAAGAGGTTAGATGTAGAAGTAGATGGCTGTGGTTCCTCATAGCAAGACTGAGTAGCTGATGGTGATGAGGTAATTTGGGTCTCATCATTACTTCTTCCTGTATTTGAGGTATCTTTGGTCACATGGCATTGGTTTTCTATATTAACTTCTACAGTTGGAAAGGGGAAAGGAAAGAAAAAGATCTGTGTGACAGTCACCACAGCACGGCTTCAAAATTCCGAGGAATCAAACTCTCTCAAGAAGGGACATCAGTCATTGGAGCATAGCTCCTCTTCATGGATCTTGAATTACTTTTCCTTACCTACTGGTTCTTGAGTCGCCTCATGTTTTGTGTTTAAGGATTCATACAGATAAGCAACATCTGAAAGTTTAAAAAATACTGATCAGAATCTTTAAACAAAAATTCACTAACCTTAATATCACATAACCAATGAAAATTCTGCTGCCTCAAGAGTTCTCATTTCCCAAATCACTGATGAACATCTTTAAGACAAGCGACAACACTGATCATTCATGAAATCTTTTATTAATTTTGTTCCATTGCAAAAACTGAGCACTTACACCTAAATGTTGGTCCCTGACTTCTATTCAGTTAACATGTGAAAGAACATTATTTTCTGCCCAACAATAGCTAGGCTTATTGAAAAACCTCTGGGGAAGGACCCTCATTAATTTATTTTTTTAACCTAATTATGTTATTTCCATTACATCATCCTAAAAAGAATTTCTGGAAGAATTATAGGCATGAGAGGGATGATTCTTCTTTAAGACCACATAAATATTTTTCCAGGTTTACTAATTCTACTTTCACTATAGGGCTATGCCCACCTGCCCCCATTTTTCCTTTCCTCTTCAAAGGAAAAAACAACAACCAACTAAAAAAAACCCAATACAGAACAAAAAGCTTTTGCAGCCTTTCCTTCTGGTGCCCAAAGCTGCTTTAATATGAGATATAAAGTATCACTAACTACCCCAGCAATTTGACTTTGAAAAGAAGCATTGGGCATATGATCAGGACCTCATTAGTTACCATTCCACGCATTAGTTCTTCCAAAACTACTTCTAGGCACATTTCAATTGCAGACAGTTGCTCAGACTTGTCTCTGTAAAAACTGGCACATCCATGACCTCTTGTAGAGAGAGTTGTTTTTAAACAGTAGCAAATTATTTGCCTTAAAATTGAGTAATTCTGTTTTATTTGTACTGGTATTTCTTTTTTCTCATTACTCAAAAAACCAAAACCAAAACAAACACTAAGTGTGCCATTTCCAAAATATCATTTACTTACTGTTCTCTGGCTCATTTTTTCTGTAAACAACATAGATCACATCTCCAGTCTGTAAAGGGTATGTCTGCTTCTTAACCACTTTCAGCTTATTAATGACTGTTCCATTAGTACTATAAAGAGAAAGAAAAGATAACTTAGCATAAATGTTTTCATAACTACCTAGGAAAGGAAAACACAAGATATTTTTAATGAAGAAAAACTACAGGCTCTCAAAAAGCAAAATGTGAGCTAGGATGAAAAGCCCAGAAACAAAAAGTTGCTCTCAACGACAGAAAGGACTTCAAAGCTCATTTGCAGCTACTGGTAAAGAGATGGTAGCTGACAAACAAACAGATAAAAGATCCTAGACATTTGGCCAATATCTCAAAACAATTAGATGATTGTTTCTGTACAATAATCCCAACCCTTTAAGTATAAAACAGGAAAGCATAACAGGAGTTCTTTTCAACAAGTTTTAGGTTGTTTTCCAGTTAAAACTGGGAATCTCCTAGGACATTCTGCAAAGGAACTTTACCTGTGCAGTCAGGGATGCCACACTGCCTTAATTTTTCTCCCCTCTTGCTTAAAATAGTAAGAAACTTAAAATTCTGAGGCTATTTAGATTGTTTGCACCTCGTATGTGAGAAGTTAATAAGGTGGAAAAACAGTTACACATAATGAACAAATGAGTTGGAATACATTATTTCGACAAGAACTTCAAGAGTCGTGGAAGAAATTAAATTGGGAAAGAGGAGACTGCATTTCTGATTAACAGAGGTATCTCCTTCACTATGGGTGATGTTTTATACACAAGCTATTAGTGTTTTATAACCAAGTCAAGCTTTAAAGTTCTGAATAATTCCAACTCAGTTGCAATAAGCCTCTTTCAGGACTACAGCATTCTATAATTTCAGACTTCTGTCATTCAAAATCTCAGCAATTAGTACCAAATACAAACGAACAGAAAACCAACTTCCCCCCAGCAGAACGAGCTGCTGCACGAAACAACAACAAATCTCTGCTGCCACCTTCTGGAGGCCACCACTTGTGCCCAGAACACAGACTTCTCAAACAGGCCAGCTCCTCTCTAGAACAGAGAGACTGTTATTTTGAAATCAGCACTTTCCCTTCTCACTATTTTTCTTTTAAGAGAGACCTGGAAAATCTCTTGTTGTTTAGTAACAGAAACACAGAAAGAAAACTAGAAATTTGGACCTCTTTGGACACAAAGGCAAAAGGCAAAAGGAAAAGCAGTCCTTTTGAATCACAACTGCAAGTCTTGCAAGATCAAAATAGCAGCTCTTGCTCTTACCTCTGGAACTGCTTTTATTATCTACACGGTTGAATCAACTAATCGAACATAAATAACAAAGAAAAAAAAGCCATTTTAAACATCAAGAAACAAACAACATCATCTTTGGGTCACACTGACATGTGCTCTATTAAGGAATCTTCAAGTTTCTCTTCTAAGCAAGAAAGCTTAAGCCTGTCTTTTTACATCAGTCATGCAGATGTTGAATAGCGTGAAAGACAGAAGTGCTAAAGAGCCAGCAGAAGAGACACATCACTAAAAGAAAGCAAAGTTCAGCAATTAAGGAAATTAAGAAAAAAAATTTAGTCTGTTAGAAACTATACTAATTTTTAACTTAATATATGAAAAAGATTATGTCAAAGCAAAAATCACACCTCTTTCAATTGTCAAAGAAAGAGAAAAGTTTACAACAATCCCTAAAATGTCTCTGAGATCCTTTAACAAAACTAGGAAAAAATGAATTTGACCTCCTTAGTTTTCCAGAAGGCAAAATGTAACATGCATCTCCCATTTGCTGTCATTTAGATCTTCTTTGGTAATAAAACAGCTAAACTCAGGTAACAAGAGCTGTCTTTTACTGAGCCTTAGCAATTCCTACTCCTAATATGTCAGTTAACATAGGGAAAAAAATGTCACAACAGTGCATTTTATGAAGCTGCTCTGTCATGACTGGCAAGTTCCAAGACGGTTATGAGGGACAACAACTCTAGTGAGGTATTCTTGGAAAACATGATAATTATGACATTTGTACATTCTTCTGATGTTTCAAATTAAAGAAAGGTCCCCATAAAATAAGCAGAAAGTACAATGAGAATCCCAAATATGACGGCTATTCATTAGGACTTAACCTGAATTAATATCAACTGGCCATGCCAAGTGTTGACATGGAGAAAAAAAAAAAACAGTACTATCAAATATAGACTGAGTTGTGAAACAATGTCATGAAAGGTCACAATTTCTAAAGAATGGAAGAAAAAAGTCAGGCCTTGACTCAATTTCAATGTAGTTGATGACACTTTGATTAATGAATCATACATTGCCTTCACTTCCCAATCCCAACTGTTAGGCAGAACTGATGTGAACAGCTACAAACTGATGTGAACACCTACATCTCACTCGGAACACACCTACTCTTAACATATGTGAATGATGTGTGCGTTGTAAGATCCTCTGGTATCCTTTGGAGAAAAAATTCCATTCTTAGTAATAACTAAGATCCATCCAGGAAGAAATACAATTTACAGTAAAGCTTCTGGGTTAATAGTTTTAATAGTTATTTGCTATTTAAATGCGTGTTATCCTGAACATACTGTAAACTGAAATGAGTTTTGAACTCTTATTAAGTTATAGAATCCCTTCTTCTAGAATCCCTACAGAATCCTCTTCTGTGTCATTCTCCATTCTTTTAATGTTCACAGAAATAGTTTTGACTGATAGGGTGAGGAGAATTGAGTTGCAGAAAGGACACCAGCACCAAGTGAAGACGAGCTTCCAATTTACCCACAGAAAGGAGTATCTACTTGCCTGCCACATGAGTATCAGCCTTGTATAGTTTCCTGCTCTGAAACACCGCTTGGTACTAAGAATCCTTAAAAAAAAAAAAGAAAATCCCAGAAGACAAGAGGAGGCCTCTTTCTTTTTCAAAACAGAGAACCTCATAATCACTTTTACTTAGGGAAAGCCAATTACTGCCTCAACTGAGTTAAGTGAGCTTATATGATCTGTTTTCTTTCAAGCAGTATAAATCAACTAGTGCATGGTTTGGAAAATAAAGCAGAAACACACCCCCCAAAAAAGGGCGAGTCTGAATCTTTTATTGTACTATTTGCTAACTCTTGGCTTTTGTTACTCCCAAGCTTCTATTTACTCAATAATTTTGAGTTCTCTACACATTTTCTTTCACCTGCAAATTCATGGTAATTCTTTCCAAAGTAGATCCAAGAACTCATTATGCTACTAGGGAGATAAAAACCAGTGTTGGCTGTCTACCTGTATTTGACTATATTCTTTGGTTTAGCTACAATGCAGAAACAAAGTCCATTCAATTCAACTGTCCTGACACTAGTTGCCTCCTTCAATGCATTCCTCTTCACCAGAAAAAAACTGAGCTTGACCGCAGCAATGCTTCCAAACTATTTTCCACTTCAGAGAAGAAAAAGCTAACTCTGCAGTATTTTCCTGGGACTCTGGGCATCTGTATTGCCAAATCAAACATTCAAATATCTTCTTATTTCAGCCTGCCTGATTTTTTTGGAGCTCATCTGATATTTGGCACAAATAATTGGAAGACCCAGGAGAGCTGCCTTATGCAAGTAGTCACATCAACCCATTTAGTCTTTTAATTCAGCAAATGGTAGCCACATTTCATACCAACTCATAGGCAAGCAGAACACATTAAAGGATCTTACTCCTTTTTGTTAGATACACAGAAGCCTAACATGCATAAGCAGCTACCTGGTAGTACTCCATAGGTGCAGCCTTTCGTTTACCATTGTAATAAGCCCCACCTTTTCATGAATCTATCAGATAGAAAATTAACTTTAATTTAGTTTTGCTACTTTTCTGCTGCCTGCACCTTCTGCCTCAGGGGAAGGGGGTGGTGTAACAACTACAAAAGAAAAAAACACAGTAATGTTTCTGCATCATTCACAGTTTCTTTAGTTTGTATTATCATGACATTCATCTAAAACAATTCTACCAGCTACATGCAACTGAAACTAGGGATGGTTTCTCAAGCTTCAATTCACAGCTATGCTCTGAGACTGCCGTGTTAGGCAAACATGACCCAATTTGTTATTTAGAAATATCTTGACATTTGGGATAACATTAGAGAATGACAATTACAAGGCATTTCCTAGACATCCTAGCTAGGCCTGACACCTTTCCCTAAAACTTAGCATTCCATCTCACAGCTTCAGAGAGTACAGAAGGGATCTATCCAGGGACTTGGCTAATTTCTCTAGCTACAGCCAAGAAGTGGAGAAGAAATACATCCTCATCAAGCTTGTGGATATCAAAGGAGGGGCAGAGCTGGGCTGCCATTCAGAGGCACTCAGGAAGGCTAATGGAACGGGCTGACAGGAACATCGTACCATTGAATAAGGAAAAACCGTAAGTCCTGCACCTGGAATGGAATAACCACCTGCAACAGTACAGGCTAGAGACCAATCAGCAAGGGGGTTTGATGGATTTTATGACTAAGCATAAGATCATACACCTTGGACTTATGCCTAAGCTTAAGTCAGCAGCATGCCCTAGCAGTGATGAAGGCCTACAGCACACTTGGCTGCATTAACAGGGGTGTAGTCAGAAACTCAAGTGATTATTATTCCTCTTTACTTGGAACTCAGTAGTGCACATCTAAAACATTACATCTACTTTGGGGCTACCTAGTACAAGGGAGATTAATAAACTTGAGCAAATCCAGCAGATAGCCACTGACATGACCAGAGGTCAGGAGCACAAGACCTGTGACCCAAGGTGCTTGGGGAACTAGGGTTGTTTTTGCCTGGGAGAAGGTGGCTTGGTGAGCCACTGACCTCACAGCAGCCTTTCCAGTGCCTATGCGAATATTACCAAGAAGACAGAGGCAAGCTCTTTACTGAGGTGATAAAGGTCATAAACTGAAATAAGGAAGATTCAAATGGATGGAAAGAAAAAAAAAAAAAAAAAAAAAAATCACTGTGAGGATAATTAAGGTCTGCAATAAGGACCCTGAAAGCCTCCAAAATCTCTGTGCTTGGAGGTTTTCAAGGCCTGACTAGGGAAAGCCTAAACAACCTTGTCCAAATCCAGTGATGGCCCATCTTTGATATTTTGAACTAAGTATATGAACTCTTCCAACTTGAATGATTCGGTATGTTCCGTTTTACTTGAGGAAATAAAATACAAAGAAGTGCATTGCCCATGTAAATACCTAGAAGCGAGCTCCTCACCCTGAAAAAGACTCCTTTTAATATCAACATAGCTATTAATTGATCAAGAGACAGAAAAGGATCAAAAACTCTGCTGAAAGAAAACCATCAACTAAAGCTCGTAAATTCTGCCAGTGCCTCCCCAAATGCATATGCCATTCAACCAGGCAAGTTCAAAGGTTCTCGAAGGGCTTTTTGTCAAAAGCTCAGCAGGTCCTGGATACTAACCCTGACCTAGCATTACAATACATTTAAATGCATTCTGGTAGGTTGGAACAGGAATTCAGCATGATACCCTTAAAAACCTCAAAAGTGAGAATTTCCTCTTTATGTATGTACATCAATATATTTTTGAAATCTTCTTCATCTCTGGGTAAAATACCTTCCAGGCATGAAAAATGGGGGGAGCTGGCAGAAAGTATTGTTTCTTTACTGACTGCAATAACCTGGCAGAAAAAGAATGTGGTTTACAGAAGCATTTTAAAATGTCACAGAGTTCTTGAAAAGTAATAAACCAGAAGCTTCTGGCAATCTTAGATAAAAAAATCCTGTCAAAAATAAAGCAGATGAACATTTGAAAAATTTGAAAGTTATCCTCCTAAGAAATATGCTTCCATACAAACTTCTATCTCAAATTTTATAAAGAAAAATAGAAAACAAGCTAAAAGTCATTGGAAACCACCCACAACCCCTGCAATGCTGTTTGTACTCCCACAATAGCCTTAGAATGCTACAGGGAATAGTCTCACCGGTATAGCAAGTTCACTGAAATTCAGTATGTGAAGAAATATGTAATTGATGTTATATACTAAAAGCAGTTTCACTAAATTAGCTTAGCTTTTTAACAGTAGTTCCAGTGAAGTATGTCCTTATATCTTTCTATGTTAAGGGCTTTAGTTCTCACACCCCTAACTTAACACAGAAACACCCAGAAAAGAAAATAATCGTTCTGGTTGAACAAAAGAAACCAACCTGAAATATCAATAGTAGAAATCCAGCAAACATCATTTATTATTAAATTAGATTGAACAGGTTCTAATCTTCATCTGACATGCCCACCACAACTGCTAGAGTGCTACAGTACTTACGCTATATAGACTACAGATATTTTGAATACCAGAAAGATGTATAACAAGGACATATTTTTACTCCACATTTATTTTATGCTTTGAGATCCTCACTTCAGGTATCTTCTTCCCTACACAAAAACCTGAGATGAGGCACGCTCATGCTTAGAGTTTTTAAGAATGCTGGCATCATTTTTTGTCTACAAGTCTAAAGAAATATGCTACTGAACTATTACATCAACAGTATTTTTCATCCAGTAGACTATGAATTCCTCTGTAAAGAAAAATATATTTAGAAAGAACAAAAAAACCACCCCAAACCTAGATGTAAAAGTAGGGAAAAAAATAAAAACCAAAAAAGAGAAGGATTTACTGTTGATGTCTCGACCAATACACAAGATTTTACTGCAAAGACTAAAAAGAAAATAAGAGCAGAAGTTCACAGAAGAACCAACCTTGTATCTTCCAATGACACTTGACCAGATTCTTCATCCACTACAATTTTACAGTGATCTCCAGACACCAACTTGTTGCCAGGAAAAGATAAGTCACAACCTTAAAAAAAACCAGATTTTCCAGTGTGCTTAAAAATACACATTACACAGACAGATTAGCATTCTACACAGCTATAAATGCACAGCAAACTGACTCATATACATCTGCAATAGTTCAAAACTTCTACTGCATATAGGCATATAGGGAGCAACACAGTGTAATATGTGATACATAAATATAAGCAGTGAGATAGCCCCAGGTGATATAGGCTTATTGCAACCATTTCAAGATGGTTTAGTTCCCTTTTCTCACCAGTGCTAGCCCTTACAGATGGAAATCAAGTCACAATTACTTTGTTCTAAAGTGGAACAGGGATAAATTCACACATATTTGAAATGTTCAATTCTAGAGACATACATCACAGAGCAGTCAGCTTCTTTTCTACATCAGTTTAAGACTGTTTCATTGGATTTAATTTCTGCTTCATTCTGGTACGCATATTGTACGAAAGTACCTGGAACCAACAGCTGATAAATACAATTTATATATAAATTTTATAAATACAATTTTCTTTTGTTTGTTTTTAAAAACTGTTGACAGCAAGATTATATTAATAAAGCCGAAGGGAGATTAAAAATCCAGGACTAAGATTTAGAGATGCAGAAGTGCGATGACAATGTTGACCTGACAGAAACCTTCCTACCTGTAACTCCAGGGCTCTGAATGAATCTAGAATCATAGAATATCTTGAGTTGGAAAGATCCATAAGGATCATTGAGTCCAACTTCCTGCTCCTTGCAGGACTACTGCAAACTCATGGTACTCATTTCAAGTACCACTCAATTTAAAATCTAGTATTTCCACTTCACTTATTTGCCTATTCAAGGCAATGCTCAAGAATCTCCACCAACCTCTTGCACAAATGACTCAAAGTACTTGCTTACACAAAAGCTACAATTAACAAAACATGATTCACTTCCATCTATTCACACTGTGGGTACACTTCATCTCAGCCTGCAAGAATGTATCCAGAAGGAAAACACTACACATGCTGATGACAGTTTATCATTTCTCTACTCCTAGTATTCAAGGAACGGTCAACAACTACAGAGTTAACTGCTGCCACACAACCTGTGATGCTAGGAAGCCCACTGAAAGCGAGCAGACTAAATTTTGTTAAGGAACATGCCAACATTTCTGTTCTATTCTACAGACTTATTTAGACTTTCACATGGGAGCAGGAAGGGCAGAGAGCTCTCAACAAGCATTTGTGATGCTCCTGAAGATTTTCTAAACAGTATTTATGACCCCAAGGTTGGTATCCTTGTAACCACTCATTAATCCATTAGCAAACAGTTATGGAATCAATAGAACATGTAAAAATCTATCTTCTTCCTGCAAGACAACCCTTAACTACACCTCAATTTGAAGAATTTACCTACAGCTTAGATAATGATAAGCAAACTAAACATACCTTTCCAAATGTGAATATGCAAAACATTTTTTCTACAATTATTAGGAAATAATAGGTAATAATGTGTGAGAAATTATCTGTATTTCTCATACAGCTACAGCATCTAGTGTTTGTTCAACACTATACAAATGTGACTGGTCAGTCAAATAGCTTGAACTGATGAACAGGAAACTGAAAAAAATCTGTCAGGGCAGAGTAAAAAAATCAAAACACTGCAATGACTGTTTTAAATACAGTAAGCATGAAATACATTAAAATACAGGCAAATAGTAAAAGCCCTGGACTCTGGGAATAAAGCTTTAGCATTCCCTCTCAGAGAAACTTTCAGTACTTGTTGGCAGTCTTCACATGGCCTGAAGAATTAAGGGCTTTTATGTGGGCGTTTTCCTTTCTGTGAAGCACAAGCATTTTGCATTGCAGTTCCAATTTATTTTAACCACAGAAGCAAAATGAGAACGTAAACAGGACTGATACCCAGAAACTCTTCTGAATCAACAATCGCTGTTTCTTATCTGTACAGACTGTCACAGACAAACTAGAAGGCACACTTGCATTTAAGCGTGCACACGTCACAAGTCGGTGAAATGAAAAGGTCAGCGTAAAACTTTTGTCTTCACACAGAGCCAAGAGGTAAATGAGGAATAAGAGACAGCCTGACAAGCACCTCCAACAGCTGAAAGCACCAAACCCCTCTAGTTTCAATCCTTCTGATGTTTTAAAGGCCAGGGGGGAGGTCTCTGCTGTCCCCCGAACACCGCCCTAACCAGCGTGTCCCTGTCCCACCTTTCTTCCGACCAATTGTCCATTCTCTTTTCAGCAGCAAGACGTGCGGCTCTGCCTCATCAGCACCCAGCCGGATCAGCTTCCCCCAGGGCTGCTGCTGCTGGCTCTGCTCGCCTCCTTCCGAGTGCTCCATTTGGATTCACATCTGACAAAAACAAACAAAGCGAACCCAAACCCCACCGTCACACAGCACCCGGGCTGGGGGGAGAGGGCTCGCTCGGGGCCGGCAGCCTCACCGCAGCCCCCTCCCCCTGCCTCTGCCGGGGGCCGGGCCCTCAGCGCCACAGTCCCGCAGCCCTTCACACCCCCGCGGGCTCCCCCGGCCCGGCCCGGCCCTGCCCGCTGCCTTTTGTGTGCCGTAGGAAAGCCCTCCCCCTAGGCCACTCGGCCCCCCGCAGCCAGACCACCCCCTCTCCCTTCGAACCCCCACCCCACAGGGCCGCTCCCCGCCTGAGGGGGATCGGCCTCCCCCTTCCCTTCCTCGCCCCCTCTCACTTCTCTCAGGGCGGCGAGGGGAGGGCAGGGGGTGCCGCGCCCCCACACGCACTCCCCGGCCGCCTCCGCCCGCCCCTCGAGCCCGGCGCCCCCTCCCCTCGGCGCCAGCCCTTACACCCAGTCCCGCGGCCGAGGCGGCTCCTGTCAACAGACATTGCCACCATCAGCTGATCCTGGCTGGGCAGGGCCAGCCCTGCCATTGGAGGCGGCGCGCGGCGGCCGCACGGAACGCACCGCGGGCAGGGGCGGATCTTCCGGCGGAAACCACCGAGCCCCGCGGGCTAGAGCGCCGCGGTTTCCGGCGAGGCCGCGGCGCGCCGCCCTGCGTAGGGACGAGAAGGGCTGTAGCGGGGCTCGGGCGGCGGAGACGCCGCAGCGGGCATCTTGATTGGGGGCTCGGCGCCATCTTTGTTGCGGGCGGACCGAGCGCCTCAGAGAGCTGTAAGGGCAGCCAGCTGGGGTCGTTTAATTGGTCACATACAGGGAAAAATAATTGTAGTTTAACACTTCGATGCTGAAGAGTCGTAAATTTGCTGGCAGCGGCTAAATAAAACAAACATACCTGCTGTTTCAGGGGCATGCTTTAGAAAGAAAGTTCACACTGAGGCAGGGTAAGGGCCTGTCAGTGGCAGTTCGCACCCTGAGGGGCAGCCCCAGTTTCAGTCAGGAGACTATTAGAACCCAAAACCTGATGCAAACGGGGCAAAAGCAAGCAGTGGACCTTTCTGCACCTTAAAATTGTCCCTTTGCTCTTCATTGCCCCAACAACCACCTCATTTCCTCTTCTACAGTAAGTGGAATCTAGCCAAAAAACAACCACCACCACCAAACAAAAAAAAAAACACCCAACCCCAACCAGCGACAAAAGCATCCAAACAAAAGGTAAAGTGGAAGATCTCATTGATTCCCCAATTGCAGCCACGCTTCCCGTGGCGCTGCACCAGCAGGGCCTGCAGGGCCCATGCTCCCTGCCCCACCGCTCTAACTAGCCTGAGTGCTCATCATGCTCATTCTCATTTCCCCAGGTCCCTGCTTTGTCTTCCCACCTTCTCTGTCCCACTGGGAGCCATCTCGGAGAGCTAAAATGATGCAAAACAAATCACCCCGTCACTCACACATCCCGCTCTCACCTTAGGTCATGAAGTCCCATGGGGTGGCACCATCTCTCCCCATCACAGCCCACAGCTGAGTTACCTCCGGCAGTCGCCCCTCACGCCTGCCCGCCCAGCTGGGCCTGGGTGGTTTCCAGCAGCAGTTGCCTTTCCTCTGCCAGACCTGTCCCAGCAGTTCAAGTCTCTTCCTCACGATCTGCTGAAAGACTTCTTATTCATCAGACTTTCTTCCCTTGATCTGACCCTTGATGGAATCAATCAGAAGGAATGAAAGCAGAAACAGAACACTGGAAACAAAAACATGTGCAATCCTTTGCTTTGATACTCCTACTTGGTTCATAGCCTTGAGCTCTCAGAGTTAGCTTTTCTTTTAACCTTTCCTGGAAGCCCTGTAGATCCCCTTGGCCACATGAACCTAACAGCAGTACCAGAGAGCTGCATGGGATGCCTGATATACGCAAAACTGATCAAATACAAAAGTGTTTTGGATCTGCAGTTGAAACTGATACCTAATGCACCGTATTGCTTCACAGTCCTCAATGGCATCTGCCTTGGTTCAGCAGAAAATGCAGGCACTCATGCAAGTCAAAATTGATGCACATACTTAAGGGCTTTTCATTACTGACCTTAGTCTATAACTCCTCCCTTTGTAATAATGCTGCTGAAAAGAATTGGTTCTTTGAGGCCTGTCTGCATTCCTCCAAAAGGATTTGTCTGTAAAATACCCTGCTTGCTTTCAACTTTGTCCTCACTGAGGACTAGTGTCTTTTACATATTTGAAGAGAGGCACATCAGTGGAAGTTACACTCACTCAAAAGCATTGTCATGGTGCTTCATTTTTATTACTGCTCACAGTGACTTGTAATTGTTATCTCTGAGTGGCAGAGGAAAATAGAAGCACATGGGGGAGGCAACTTAAAGCCTAACAACCAAATCTTTTGTGTAAACCATAGCATTAGCTGAGGGAGGAAGTTGTTTTGTTATATTGTGGCACTGAGAAAACGTATTTTCCAAATATTCCTGCCAGGAGATCCCTCTGCAATCACACCAAGGAATTACTGCACCTTGGTGATAGCACAGTGCAAGCAAATGATTGGTTCAGCTCTTGCAGCTTTCCCATAGTATCCATGTAAAAAGACAGCAAGTGAAACATACAGCTAGCTTAACAAGTCCTGTGTGGATAGGAGACTCAATTAAAATTAAATTATACAACAAATTAGGTTTTAAATGCTGCGCTGCTTAGCCAGACAGACAAATAACAATTAGAGATGTACTGATCTGCTGCTATGTGCAGTTGAACAGCAGACTGCTGTAACTGCTTTCAGTGTACACTGATGACACTTCCCTCCCAGCTCATGGTAGTTTTTATGTGACATTCCAAATAAACCATCCCTCAACAGGCCCATTTTGTACTTGTCATCCTCCTGAGCTGGGCAGAATGGACAGGATCTTTTTCTACAGGCCATCTTTCCCATCTGTTCCATCAGTTAATGTTTCTTTAGCAATATACCTCCCCCTTGTCTTTCTTTCCAGAATCCAGGTCATTCTAGAAGGAATTAGTTTTTCATGTTCTCAGTTGTGTAGATACACATATATTAGATTCGGGGGGGGGGGGGGATCTATAAATATTATTTATGTATTTATTTTTCCTACCAACTACTGCATGTACCAGCAGTTTCAAAATACTCCATGATGCATAGATGGGTACAAGCCACAAACTGCCACTTCCGATATTGGTTCTAGCAAAAGAAATTCTGGAGTTCCTGATAAAGAACAACACAGAAATCAGTCCAGTTGAAAAGGACCTACAGGCAGCTACTCAAATTCTACTGCAAAGTTTTAATTGTATTGGTATTGCATTAATGTCTGGAGCTCTCTGTCACCCTGTGATAGAGACCTGTGATAGATAACATTCAGAAAGACTGATGCTGTTTAATTTTCTCTGCAATTTTTTTCACCCCTGCTGAAAGCAATATAAAATTCTTAACATCAGATCTGGCAAACACAACATGGAAAACACCTTTCATGATTAAACTAATAATTATGTGTTCTGCATGGAAAATACACTATGTAGACATCATCCTAAACCAGAAAGAGTAATGTTATCATACAGCCATCTTCAGTTGTGGTTTCCTACTCCTGGCTGTTTGTCTGTGGGAAGGAAAAACAGCTTTGTAGTGTAAAAGAAAACATGGAAAGGACAGCCTTTTAGTCAGGCATTTCCAAGTAACTGCTAGCCCAGTCCTGCAGATAATCTGTGTTCCTGCCATGCTGTAAGTGAGAAATGCACTATTAACACAAAGGGTTTTCTGAGTCAAGCAGCCAGCCCCTGATTATTATCTCCTAGAGAAAGGAAGACAGCCAGAGACACCATATGAGAAGGGAACAGGAAAAGAATCATTTATGTCCTTTTTCTTATGCTGTTTATCTAGAGATCCATTTCTGATCACTGCTAGTGTCTGGGAGACTTTTGATCTAGAGGAAACTAGCATGGCAGTTCCTGTGGTGTGACTCTCTCCATATTAGCTCACTGCAAAGCCTTTGAATTACCCGTGAGTTACGAGGTTATGCAGCAATGAGTTTAGGTCAAAAGGAAGGACTCCTGGGAAATTCAGAGGACCTTCTGGGAAAACAAACAAAACCAACACACAAAAAGCATGCATGCTGGAGCTAATGAAACAAAGCAGTTCCCAGGAAAAAGTTCCTTTCAGCCAGGACCACGATTGAGCTTTGTAGCTAGGCCAGAAGGACTAAAGAAGAGATTGCTCTGTGCTCAGCTGACAGAGATCAAAAATAATGCAATTATTACTGAGACTTCACAGGTTAGCTTCTCTGGATGCAGCACTGGCAGACAACATGGCCAGTTCTCTTTGAAACCACATTGTAAATGCAGCCAGGTATTTCCTAAAGAAAGCTATCAGATGACAATAATTAAAACAGCTTGTTGACATTTCTTTTTTGGAAATTGCCAACATCACATTATTTTGTTACATTCAAGTAGAATTTTAAAGCTGTCTAAAATACACGTTTTGGCATTATTTATGTCCTTCTTTTCTTGCAGCCTGGATGGGCAAAGCGGTTTAAATTTTTGCCTTTGGCATTTTTTAGTTTCTGAGCATCAAACTCTGTAGCTAGCTTGCAAGCCCAGCAGATGGCCATTTCTGTCTAACAAAGAAAGCAATTCCACTTAATTAGCAAATTGACGTATTTCTAATAGCCTTAGGTTTTCTAAGACATTGGTTTGGTTTGTAAATCTAGGCACAGCCCTACAGTAAGGTCTTCCCCCATTTTATCTGGCATAAGCCCACCCTAGCCATGAGAGTGAGGAAGTATACTGATTCTTACCTGGCTTGGACCAGGTTCACACAGATTCCTTTAATGGTTCTTCTTGTCATTTATAGGTGACATTCCAAGTTTTCTTTTTGATCATTTAATTCATGATGTTCAAGAAATTCTCCAGCACTTCTTCAGTCACAGTCTTAGATTGACGTGTTTAGTCTGAGGAAGAAAAAAATTGCATGTATTATCTCAGGATGAAAAACTGCCTACAGAAAAATTACATGAATATTTCTGCAGACTCCCTTCTCCATAGATAACTGGGAAAATTTACAGTCTAGTTAAAGAATCAATTTTATCAAAGGGGATTTTTAAAGTATTTCCTTCCTGTAAGTGTTTTCAAATATATTTCCTCCAGGGGGTGCCAAATTAACACCACTGGAAACTAAAAATATATAAATTATCCACGCCAAGGACATAACTGTACATTTCTCTGTAGCTTGAGTGATGCACCCCTCCAGCCTGAGCCAAAGGCACCAGCGTTTAGAGTGAAATTTCTCAGCTCTTCATTTGTGAGTGTCTCTCTTTGCAGTCAGGAACAGTACTGACTGGTCCTACAATTGATGTCATATACATTCTCTGCTAAGTTCAGCTAGGACACATCTCTTGGAAGAGAGCTTTAAGAGTGGCTGAGTGGAGACATACATTTGTCTCAGCCTTTGAAAGAAAGAGACCTTGGGGAGGGAAGAAGTTAGAAGTGCAGTGAC